AGCACAGCCCCACACTGACTGCTCTGGGCTGTGCAGGCATTTGTGGTTCTGCCTGTCTGACACACACCCCCAACCTTGGGATGGATCTGAGTGTCACTGGCTGTGATGTTACATGGGAGCTGTGATGTCATATGATGGATGTGACGTCATAGAGGAGCCTTGATATCACAACAAGGATGTGATTTCACGGGGAGGATGTGATGCCAGAGGGAAGGTGAGATGTCATAGGGGAGGTGTGATGTCACAGGGGAGGATGTGATGTCGCGGGGACCATTTGATGTCACTGGGGAGGGCATGACATCACGGGGATGATATGATATCACTGGAGAGATGTGATGTCATATGATGGATGTGACATCATCAGAGATATGTGATGTCACATGAGAGGTGTGATGTCACAGGAGAGCTGTGATGTTGCAGTGGAGGATGTGGTATCACAGGAGAGATGTGATGTCATATCATAGATGTGACATCATAGGGGAATGTGATGTCACAGGAAGGATGTGATGTCATAGGGAAGATGTGATGTCACAGAAAAGATGTGATGTCACAGGGGATGACGTGACTTCACAGGGATGATATGACATCACAGGAGAGATGTGACATCATAGAGGAGATGTGATGTCAGAAGAAGGATGTGATGTCATATGATGGGTGTGATGTCACAGGGGAGATATGTCACTAGAAGTGTGTGATGTCACAAGGAGGGTGTGATGTCACAGGAGAGGTGTGATGTCATAGGGAAGGGCATGACATCACAGGGATGATGTAATGTCACAGGAGCGGTGTGACAAGGGAGATGTGATGTCACAACAGGCATGTGATGTCACAGAGGACATGTGATGTCAGAGAGGAGGATGTGATGTCACAGGCAAGCACGGGATGTCACAGGGATCATATGATATCACAGGAAAGATGTGATGTCACAGAAAGGATGTGATGTCACAGGGGACCTGTGATGCCATGAGGAGGTGTGATGTCACAGGGAGGACATGACATCATAGCGGATATGTGATGTCACAGTGAAGGTGTGATGTCATAGGGGAGTTTCACGGGGAGGAGGTGACATCACAGGATTAATAGGATATCACAGTAGAGGTGTGATGTCAATTGATGGATGTGACATCATAGAGGAACCTTGATGTCACAACAAGGATGCGATGTCACAGGGGAGGACGTGATGTCACAGTGGGGACATGATGTCAAAGGAAGGAAGTGATTTGGAATCATACAAATAGTTATTATTTGCATTAGCCCTCTGCCTCGGAAGGCATCAAATTTTCTATTTGGCTAAATTTCTCAAAATATTAACACATGAAACTAAATCTAAACAAAACAAAAGAAAGTGTTACCTGAAGAAAATAAAAGAAAGGCTTTTCCCAGCTCCCAAATTACTCAGTGTATTTGCATAAAAACTGATGTGTAATTTCAGGTCCAATTTCAAGACACATTGGCCCCTTTAACAGACATATTATTACAGAATCCCTCACACCCACCACGCATTAAAGGATACCCTGATTACTCATGGGGTGGAGACAGTGGCTAATGAAAACTAGATTTGTGTCAGTATTAAATCCTGATGTTTGTAACTTTGTTAATATTAGGAAATGTGATTGTAGCTATTGAGATACTGTTATGTCCCATATGCTTACTATTTTTCTGTAAGGATTTTTGGAAATTGCATCACATTGGGAAAAGATTTGTGCTCTCTCTTCCTTTTTTCTTCTTCTGTCCACTACACGAAAGGCACTGCCCACAAAGAAGGTTCACATTGAATGACCAAAGAAGATAAGATAGGACAGGGCTCTACACTAAAGCAGTTGTTGAAGCAATTCTACTAAAGCTGAAACAAAAGCAAGAATTCTTAATTAGAGATGGATGGACCTCTCCCAGACCAACGCTGGTGGGGAGATCTCTGCTCTCAACCTCCAGCAGTGACCTTGGGGGGTCCCCAGCAAAGGCAGGAATCTCCACACACCCTCTCCAAAAAGGGTTCTGTTAAAAGAACCTGCCCCTGTGAAAGGGGACTGGGACTCCAGGGGTTGCCTCACCATCAGGGGCTTCATTCGGGGTGGAAGCAGCGCCGAAGCTCTTCCCGCAGTTGGGGCACTGATAGGGCTTCTCTTATTGGTGGCTCTGTTGGTGTCTGGTCAAATTAGAGCTGTTGGTGAAGGTCTTCCCACACTCCCCACACTTGTAGGGCCTCTCCCCTGTGTGGATGCACCGGTGGGTGATGAGGTGGATGTTCTGCTTGAAGCCTTTCCCACAGTCGGTGCAGCGAAAGGGCTTCTCATCTGTGTGAATCCGCTCATGCAGGAGGAGATTGGAGCTGGTGTGAAACCTCTTCCCACATTCTCCACACTGGTAGGGACGTTCCCTGGTATGGATGAGCTGGTGTGTGCGGAGGTGGGAGCTCAGTCTGAAGCTTTTCCCACATTCCTCACACGTGTAGGGCCGTTCCCCAGTGTGGATGTGATGGTGTCGGAGCAGGTGGGAGCTCTGCCTGAAGCTCTTCCCACATTCCAAGCACCTGAATGGCTTCTCCCTGCTGGGAGGCTGCTCAGGCTCCACCAGGTCTGAGCTCTGGCTCAAGCTCCGTCCACCTTCCCAGCACAGGCTGGGTCTTTCCTCCTCAGAGCACCCTGGGCTGGTTTTGTAGCTCCTCCTCCTGGGGTATCTCCGGCCCTTTTCCTCCCCACTGCCTTCCTGGGCCATGGAGCCCTTCAAAACGGCCTCTCCCACCAGGGTCTCACGGGGGGATTTGTCCTCCGGGCTCTCCGTCCTCAGCTCGGGGCCTGGGGCAGGAAGCAAGAAGGACAGGGAGGGGATTTGGCTCCGGCCCACAGGGAAGGCCAAGGACATCCCCCCAACTCCGGCCCCGGCAGGACGGCGGCGCCAGCGGGGTTGTCCTGCAGCCGGGGCCATGCTCAGCTGACAGAGCCAGCACAACACCCACCCAAAGGGACACTGACTGCCTCCTCACCTGCCTGGGGGGCCCAAGGCATCTTCCTCTTCCTCGCAGCCTCCTCCTCCATCCGCCCAAGCTTTGGGAAGAAGAAATCCTGATGGGGGGGAAAACAAGGGCTGAGCGTGTTTGCTTGGGGATTCCTCCTGCCCAAGTCCCTCTCTAGAACTCACCGGGCATCATAAAAACCTCCAAACCACCAAGATTCAGCCCAGAAAAACCCAAGCCACCAAGATTCAGGCAAAAAACCCCCTCAGAAATAGCAAGAAGACCCCTGCCCCCATACCATAACTGTGATTGCTAACAATCCAAACACCAAAACAGCAAAACATAGTCCAAAACAAACGCTTTCCATTAACGTCCTGGAGCACCTTTTTCAGGATAATCATCTGCAAGAGAAAATGCAGGGATGATCCACCTTGCACTCATTTTATGTTTCTTCTTAGAAGCATCCTTTGCTCTCCAGGTGAGTGCATTTTAGGGACCACTAAGTACCAGTGGTACAGCTTCAGCTGTAGGCAATTCCACTAGTGCTGGTTGTCCAGAAAGGAGGAAGGGATGTTGGTTACCTTCAGGTTTTGGTGCAGTTGGTATCCTGTCTCCCTCTTGCGATTGTATCACTGGAGGGACTGTGGTACCTTTCCAGGGTACCTTTCTATCTGGCCATGATTGGACTAACATTTTTAGTTTATCTGTGGATTGGCCATGCATAAGAGATCTTGGAATTCCCTTTTGTAGACCCCTCACCCACAGGGTATACCTTCTTTCTTTGTGTTCTCTAAGATTATTGCATTCCCCTAGCCCAGGGGAGAAGAATGCTTGAGCTTTCGATTCCATTTCTTCCACAAAATAACAACAAAAGTTGGAGTGAAACTTCTCTAGGGGTTGCCACGTGAAGTTACCCCACCAAAAATATTCACTCCTCACCCTAGAAAGTTACCACTTAAAACTGTGTTACCAACTAAGAATTGAAAATTCAGGCCCCGCCCCCAGGGGGAGGGGCCCTGAGAGGGGTTGGGCAGGCTCCTCCCCTGGGAGGGGTCCACGGGGCTAGAGGCTCCTCCGCTGGGAGGGGCTCATGGGGTTAGAGGCTCCTCCCCTGGGAGGGGCCCATGGGGTTAGAGCTCCTCCCCTGGGAGGGGCCCACGGGGTTAGAGGCTCCTCCCCAGGGGAGGGGCCCATGGGGTTGCAGGCTCCTCCCCTGGGGAGGGGCCCAAAAGTTTTAATCTTCACAACAAAAATTAAATGCAGCAAAATTAAACTTTTATAGCCCTTGCCCCGAGGGATGACTCACGTCTACTGACACCGAAAACGACCCACACACACCTCTCCTAACTGGGGGGGGGGCATAGCACACGCCTTGCTTAATTATTCTTGCTGCCAAAGTAATAACACAAACTACGGAAAATATCTGAGACCAACACTCTGCCTTCGAGGTATCCTGCTGACTACGGCAATTAGATGGTACAGACCGGTCTGAGGCTGTAACGAGGTTCTTTCAGAGGATTACTTGGAAGGTGAGATTAAGGCACAAAACTCCAATGTTAGGTCGCAAACAGCCAATTAACTTTCTTTGCAACAATAAGGAACGATAAAAGTGGGGGGAGGAAGAAGAAGAGGGAGAGATAAGGAAAAAAAAAGGCATAAAAAAGGAAAGTGCAAAGACGTTACCAGCACCAGTGAGAGGACAGGGTGTTGTCAGCTTTTGGGCAGTCAGGGAAGGGTCGCTGGAGAGAAGCAAGTGGTGAACAGACTGGAGACGAGCAGGAGATGCAGGCAGGTGGGACAGGAGCAGGACGGGGGCAGGCGAGACGGAGCCAAGCAGGACGGAGCGAGGAGTGGGGCCAGCAGCCAGCACGGGACGCTGGGCGACTGGACTGGACCCCACAACAATTCTGGGCACTGCCTTAACCCCCCCGGTGGGCTCTCACTGGCCAGTTTGGCTCCGGGCAGACTTTTCCACGGTGTCCATTGGTTAAGCAGCTGGTATCCAGGCAGGCTGGCTCTGCCAAGGTGGAAAATGTAGCAACTTTCTGTTGGAGACTCTCCAGGGGGGCCAGCAAGCAGCCCAAAATGTCCCCCAGGTGGATGAAGGCAGCTCTGCTAAAGGCTAAAGTCGGTGTCTGCCGTTTTGTTCAGTTTTGTGGGGCTCTGGGGAGGCTCCTGGTAGCCTGCAAAACTTACACTTGGCACGTACCTCAGCTGATGGAAATAGCTTCGTTAGAGTGAAGTGGTTAAATGCCGCTTGTGCAACTTTAAACTGCTTTGAAGAAGCCTTGCCCAAGGTGTTTAATTGCCCAATTAACACCTCTCACGCCTCGGCAGGGTGGCCAATTACCAATTGTTCATTACACCAGTCAATGTAAAAACAAGGGAGTCAGAGATGGAACAATCTCTTACAGTGTCCTGTCATCCATAACTATTAGGGAAGAAATCAATAGAATAAAGAAGTATATAACTGTTCTGTCCAAGATCAAGGTGAGATTCTCTATCTTTTAACATTTCACTGACCTAGGAAGCAAGACTTTGGCACAGAATTAATACTGGAGAAAAATGAGACCAGTGAAAGATCCTGAGCTCAGGAGAACCTGACTGTGCTGGGGAATCAGAGCTTGAGCTCAGGAGAACCTGACTGTGCTGGGGAATCAGATCCTGAGCTCAGGAGAACCTGACTGTGCTGGGGA